CAATCATTAAGTTATTCCATCGAGTTTTCTTTATTATAATATGTAAAGATAAGCCTGGCCAGTGTGGCTCGGTGTTTGAGTGGCAAACCATGAACCAGGAGGTCATGGTTCGATTGCCGGTCAGGGCACATGCCTGGGTTGCAGGCTCAATCCCCAATAGGGGGTATGCAGGAGGCAGCTGATCAATGATTCTCTCTCATCATTGATGTTTCCATCTCTCTCCCTCTCCCTTCCTCTCTCTAAAATCAATAAAAACATATCTTTAAAAAAATAAATAAAGATAAAAAGTCAAGGCATTCGACAAGGCCTATAAAGCCCCATGTCTGGCTCCTACCAATGTCACCTACCTGAGGTGGCCCTGCTCTCCCCCTCCTCACTGTGAGAGCTCTTTCCCTCTTGGTAAATATTTACCAAATGGAAGTATCTCTATAAATAACTCAGACCTGACCTATAAATAATGAGAAATATTACTATGCTTCCTCCCCTTTTAACCAGGTACACATCAAAAGCTAAAGAAAATTTGGTCTATGCCATGTTTCTCAAATGGCCCACATCAGGACAGCTGTTTCTTGGCCAACCCAAAGCTACTCTGGGGTCAACAGAGGTAAGAGGGAATTTTATCTTTATTGTTCCTTTAAATTGTTAACTAGAATATCCTGATAAAAACATAACTTTTAACTTTAAGGAGATCCTTATATGTGTTCTTCTTATTTACCCATAAGAGTAATTTTAAAATGAGCTTCATTAATGGCAATATTTGGCCAGAACCTTTGAAAATTTTTTTTCATTTCCCAGAAAACTAAACTTATAAAGCAGATAAGTCATCTCCTTTCACATCAATGTAAAATATTCTTCCTCACAGTTGTTTTATGTTGTTCGAGTTCACTGTATGCATCCGAAATGATTCTTCATAAAACTGGAATTTGTATTCTTCCCCTGACATCCCACCCAGAACACATTAGAATAAAAGGAAGAAGTCTTAGCCCTACTATGTTAAGTTCATAAAATACTTTCGAGAAAGTTAAAGGTTAATCTAATAGTTATAACCACTAAGTCTGGTATTGAATTCATTTTGATATATTTTATAGCTTATTTTAAAGAAATCAACAATTTTCTTGGAGGTGAATTGTCCACATGCTTCTCCTTGCATCATATTTTCATACTTCATTTCTAACGCTTATGGTTGATCAGGCCAAAAAGAAGATGGAGTTGAAATCTAATGTTTAATTATAGCTTGTGAACTACTAAATAAAAGTAAAAAATGAATCTTCTGTCTACAATGCTTTTAAGGAATATCAACCACCCCTTCTCAATAAAGTGGGCGAGTCACAGATATACCTGGAGACATTTGTGTGTGTGTTTTAATTTCAGGTTAAGCTACTGGGACATGGACAGCCACTTAAATGGATCTCTTTGGAGAAAAATGGCATTATGGTGGAACTGCCACATCTCACCTTTCATCAGATGCCTTGTAAATGGGGCTGGGCTCTAGCACTAACCAACGTGATCTAATGTGCAGCGGAGTGGTTCATGCTGCAGTTACATCTAAGACTAGAAAATATCAGGTTTCTATAATTATAGCACATGGAGAAAGCAAATGTAAAATGGGTCAAGAAAAGTCAAGTACTTATTTAGGCAATACAGTCCCTTTCCCCTCTTACTCCTTAAATTACCCATGTAACTGTTGTAACTCTCCAGTGACCTTGTGTTCAGAACAGGCCTCGCCAAGATGCGCCACTTTGGAATGTATTCTTTTGAGCTGAAGGCAATTGAGACTCTGAGGCTCATGAGAAACTTTTATTTCTCCCTTAAGGAATTTAAATTTGGGGCCTTGCCCATAGTAAGAGTTATCACCAGAGATACATTTTTGGTGTTTTTTTTTTAAAAATATATTTCTCACCATTTTAATGTTTCAAGTAAACTGACAGATCTACAAAGTAAACAAAGAATATCTTAAAAATCTTTGACAGGATATTTAATTTTGTTAGAATTAATATAGAAATTAATATTAAAAACAAAGGAGAAAACACATAATTCCAAGAATAGTGTTGTTACAAGCCTTCTTGGGTCAGTTAACAATCTTTACCATCTCCACTTAATTCTGCAATCACAAACCTTGCACATGTTCTCCCACTTTATTTAAGACATTTTTGACAAATGTCAGTCATCGCTGTACACATCGTGGAAAGAAATAACTTCTTATGACCTTTCTATAATAGGGCAGGACAAACTTCAAAGTACTGAGCATCTGATTTTCTCTTCATCCTGCAAAGACCTCCCTCCCTCTGAAGCCTCCATGGGACTTCCCTTACTCCTCAACCTTAGCTCAGAATGTCATAAATGCCTCATTTTAACTTCCTGTTTCTGAACCATCATGTGTGTGGAGTTCTCATATGCACGCATGTGATTAAATTTGATTATCTTCTCTTATCTGTTTCATGTTGATTTGATTAAACCAGCTGGAAGAACCTAGAAGGGTGGAGGAAATTTTCTCTCCCCCCCATATTTGCTGTTAAAGTCTCTCCACAGTGAATTTAATTTCATGTGCAATTCAGAGTTGGAAATTTTTGTTTTAGAGTAGCTAGCAGTTGGTGTTAAGGACTGAATTGTGTCTGCTTCCAAATGTTGAAGCCTTAATCACCGGTGCGACTATATTTGGAGGTGTGGCATTTAAGGAGATAATTAAGTTTAAATAAAATCAGGGGTGGGGGCCCTAATCCAATATGACTGGTGTCCTTATAAAAGGAAGAGTCACCAGGGTTGCACAAGCAGAGAGGAAAGACCATGTAAGGATACAGTGAGAAGGCGGGCCCTCTGTAGGCCAAGGGGAGGCCTCAAGAGAAACCAAACCAGATGACACCTAGAATTGTCCGCCTTCAGAACTGTGAGAAAATAAATTATTGTTGTTTAAGCTGCCCAGTGGGTGGCATTTTGTTATGGCAATCCTAGAAGACTAATACAACTGGAAGGTATATAATAAATTTGGCCTAATATATATATATCCAATGCTTATAGTAATTGTATTTTTATTTTAAAAATTATTTTTTCCTTGTGGTAATAAAACTAATAAATGTTCACTGTAGATATTTTAAAACACAGAAATGCTCAAAGGTAAAGTCACTGTTCAGATCACTACTATTAACAGTTTAGTACATACTCTTCCAGGAATCAAACCTGTGACCATTCAGGCATAGGATGACATTCCAACTAACTGAGCCACACCAGCCAGGGCTATTTATTTATTTTTTATGATCCCTGCTTTAGTGACTTTTTGGATTAACCAAACAACTAAGGGTCCCAGACAAGAGGGTTCCTACTGTACTGAGAGAAGACAAGTTTGTAATGTCTAAGGTCAATTAACTTCAAATATATGTGGTTTTTACCTTGTCATCTCTTCAATTGCCATAACTACAGATGCAGATGATGGTAGGTGATAATTTTCAGCTGATCACTTTGTATCTTTAGAAGGCCACATCTGTTCAGCCTCAAATTTTCTTTGGACGAAATCCTGGGTTAATACTGCTGGAAGAGACACCCTATTATACACACATTCACTAGTTTCCCAAAATGCAGTTGTTATATCTCCCTATTAGAAATAACATCATATTCTGTCACATTTTGAAAAGAAGCATTTGCCCTCCTCCCACATTTAAATCTTTTTTTTTTAAAAACATTTTAGACATAGACTCTCTAGCTGTTGGCGTCAGGCCTAGCCAGAACTTAGAAGACTTCATAATTCATTTTCTGCCTTCCACTATTGAGCTACATTTATGTTGGAGGAACATGAAATGATGTTACTGAAAATATTCTTATATTACTGAAAATACTAGAACTAGTATATCTAATATACTAATGATACATGATTTATTTCTGTCCTAATTTCCTACATAAATATAGCACTATAGATTTACTAAAGAAAATGAATTATTTATTTTCAGAAGGAAATGCTACTTATTTTTTTTCTAAACAAATTAAAAGACATCAATTATATTACCAGTTAAAGCGAAACTTGAAAACTAGTGTCTCCCCAACATAACAGCAAAAATGCTATGGATATTGTACCAACCCTGCATCCCTGGAATAAATCCCAATTGATCATGGTGTATGATCTTTTCAACGTATTGCTGGGTCCAGTTTGCTAATATTTTGTTGAGGACTTCAGCATCTATGTTCATCAGGGATATTGGCCTATAATTTTCTTTCTTTGTAGTCATCATCTGGTTTTGGTAAAATTCACCTGTGAAGCCACCTGGTCCAGGGCTTTAGTTTGTAGGGAGGTGTTTTTTTTCCCATATAATTTTATTGATTTCAGAGAGGAAAGGCGAGGGAAAGATAGAAACATCAATGATGAGAATCATTGATCAGTTGTCTCCTGCATGCCCCCTACTAGAGATTGAGCCCGAAGTCTGGGCATGTGCCCTGACGAAGAATGTAACTGTGACCTCCTGGTTCATTGATTGACGCTTAACCACTGAACCACACTGGCTGGGCTCAATACAATTTTTTTTTAAATGGGCAAGGACTTGTATAGATATTACGCCAAAGATGATTTACATATGGCCAACAAGAATATGAAGATCACTAATCACTGAAATGCAAATCAAAATCACAAGATGTCACCTCACACCCATTAGAATGGCTACTGTCAAAAAGCAAAACAAAACAACTAGTATTAGCAAGGATGTAGAGAAACTAGAACCCATGTGCACTGTTGGATTGTAAAATGGTGTAACCACTATGAAAATCAGTATGGAAGGTCCTCTAAAACTTAATAACAGAACTACTACATGAGCCAGAAATCCCACTTCTGGGTAAATATCCAAAATAATTGAGAGTAGGGTCTTGAAGAGATATTTGCACATTCATGCTTATAGGAGCATCATTCATAATAGCCAAGAGGCGGAAGCAACCCAAATGTCCATCAACAGATGAATGGATAAACAAAATATAGTTTGCTATGGAATAAATAAATTAATGGCTATAAAGTATTAACAAAACCATATTTTACTAAAATATTTTATTGCAATATCCACTGTGCTGAAAATCAATACAAAGTAAGTTATTAAAGTTATTTACATACAAATGAATGACAGTATGTAGTTAAAATAATATGTGAGTAAACGGCATCAACACAATTTAGCCTCTAAATCACTATGTAATTTTCTAAGGATTGTTAACAACAGTGAAGAAAAAGGAATGCTGGTCATGGTTGTTAAATTCACTGATTTCCATAAAAAGCAAAGTCCTCTATCAAATATATTTAAGACACATAATTTATTCCTTTGAGGAGTAACTGGAGGAAAGTCTGATCTACTACTGTATGCTGCAGTTCAGTGAACTTTGATTCGTTAAATAGCATATTTTCCGAACTTCACACCTACTTCCCAAAGAGATTTTACCTCAGTATCAATGTCAAAGTATACTGAGTTTCATATTATACAAAACAAGTATCTACATTTAGTTTTCAGTCCACTTGGAACTAATATCCATGGTATAACAAATTCTGATCTGTGTGCTGTGTACATTCAGATATGCCCACAAAAACTAGTTAGTCTGTTGATGACTTTAAAAAATAAATTAAGATGACAAATAAATCTGTTTTATTATGAATGAAGACTTTCAGAATATTTTTTATTAGGCATTTTGGTAACAAATCATTACCCTATATTTATATAGTTGACTTATTCAGTGTATATTTAAAAGTAAATTAATTCCACTGAAGGTTTTTTGAAAGGAAAAAGTCATTTCTCCAGTTGTTGAGAGGTACTAAAAGCTTCGTAGACATTAGCTGCAAAGTCTTTCACTTGCTCCATCATCAACAGATCCTACAAAGATGACAACAAAATGTTACAGTTTGAAAATGTGTAGATAATCTGAATTCACTTCTGCAATCAAGAAAGGAATTTAGTGCTAAGTTTAGTGGTGTTAAAGCGAAAAAGAAAAACCACTTAATGAAAGAAGTATTTTTTTCTTATAATAAATTCTAGAAGATATTTATTCGTTAGGTTCTTATATGAGGGATGCCATCTTTACCCTTACGCCTAGGGACTCTTCTCACTGCACATTATTGAGGTAGTTTGGAATTGAGGTATACTGCAAGTAATTCTTTACTTATAATACAGTTTCCAAGTTTGCAAATGACTCAGATAAAAAACACAACACAGATTTAAAGTTATCCATTTAATAATATCAGTCTTAACCAATGCATTCTAAAATGCTTTCCTAAGAAAGAAGATGGAGAAATAGGTAGTCTAGGGAAAAATTAAACAGCCCACTGTCTATGTAGCTTTAGTGAGCAAATTATTGGTGTATTATTAATAGTTATATTAATTATTAAAATGCTTTACTTCTCCATAAAAGTTTTTTTATTCTCAAAATTTGAGGACTTGTATACTGATCTGCCTTAAGGCTCAATATGCTAACACAGCTTAATGCAAAACATTAACACTGTAAATTCAACCGACAGCTAGATTTTATCACAAACATCCAAGAAACAAAAACAAAACCCAAATACAACCTATATATCTGACAATGGACTTTTATGAGCATTTATAAAGAACTTCTACACCTCATTAATAAAGAGAAAACTACATCAATAAAAGAATGGGAAATAGCTTGAGTAGATCATTAAAAAAGTATAAACAAATGGCCAACAAGCAATGAAAGATGCTCAATTGACCACAGAAGATAACACTTCATATTTTTCCAGATTGTTAAAATTTAAAGACTGACAAAAACAAATGTTAATGCAATCTAGTTTTAATACCCCAAATACCCCAAAGTTTTCTTCTTACCTGAACAAAATGACTAGGTGTTTCACTGCAAACTGAATGGATCTGTCCATTTACTATCGGAATTATCTTAGCTAAAGGCAGGCTGACACTGGAAAGACTGAAACATCATCACAGTAATTAGTATTGTCTAAACTTTATCTTATATGTATTTAACATTTTAATTATAAATTCATAAGCAGCTATTGAAAAATACTTACAGAAATGTGTTAAGAAAATAAAAATCACACATAATCCTACCACCTAGAAATAACAACTGTAACTCACATCATGGTTAATTTCCTTCAGTAATTTTTACACATATCTGGTTTTTTTTTGTTTTTAACATACAATTATAACTTCCCAAGTAACACTGTTTTGAATTTTTATTCATATATGCATGTTTTCATCTTATTAAATGTTCTTCCAAATTTTTTGTCTGTTTTTAATGATTATACAGTAATCAAACTAGCTGTGATAATTTATATTATCAATTCCCTAGAATTAGGCATTTAAGTTTCTGCCTAATTTTTCTTAATATAAATAACTCTTTGTATTAACATGGAATTACTGGATCAAAGGGTAGGAATGTTTTCAAGGTTTCAAATGTGTATTGCAAATGCCCTCTGCTTCTCCAGCAGTGTGTGAGAATACTGGTCTTTCATGCCTTCTTTCTGTGTCAAGCATTATCTTTTCTTTAATCTTTGTATTCTGATAGCTGAAAATGGTATCTCACAGTTGTGGTCTGTATTTTCCTCAATAACTAGCAATGTTGAATGTTTCTTCCCTCTATTCCAGTGAATTGTGCCATGATCTATCTGAATGTGTAAACAGGAAGCCTGAGCATTATCCTTGGCACTTCCTTCTCCTGTGTATATCCAGTCTCTCCACAATCTTAAATATTTCTTAAATGGGTCTACTTCTCCCCACTGCCAAACTTAGTCCAAGTTAAGCATTATCTCCTGTCCAAAATACAGCAATTATCTTCTAACTTGTGTTCAGTAAGCATTTGTGAGATGAATAAATTATTGTGTGATTATATATGATATAATTACTGTTAAATGATAAAATGAATTTTTGTGTGTTGGTTACAGACTTAGGTTTATTATATTAAATATCATACTTTATACATTTAAACCTAAGGCTAGACTAGAAATTTTCTTTTAAATATAATGAAAATGCCGAAGCAATGGTGTCTAATGAGTATGCTATTGCTGAGATTTGAGGCAATGCTTAAAAAGAAAAAAGCAGGGAGGTTTTATGAACTCCTGAAGAAATTAGGCATTCTCTTTTCATAGTACCTATGTAGCCATTTTTCAAAATCTGTCATGATTTGTTTACTTGTTTCTTTTTTTATTTGTGAATTTGTCTTCAATAGGAATCGAAGACACCACTATCATACAAAATATTAGTACAAGGTCCATGATGTTAGGTACCATGTGTGCTCAATACATACTCGTTGAATTGATTAATAAAAGTCTTCATTCATCCATTGCTATGTCCCACCCCAACTTCCCCTTTCCCAATTCCTTTTCCACAAAGCAATCAAAATATTCCCATCATGTCACTCTTTTCTCACTTCTCTAGTAGCTCCCCAGCATTTCAAGCCAACACCCATAATCTGCATGTGCTGACTTCTCCAACTTCATCTCACACCATTCTTTCCCTAGTTCCATCTGTTCAGGTGCCACATCAGCCTTCTTCCAGGTCCTCAAATTGAACCTTGGTCCTCCTGTTTCAAAGTCTTTGCCTTGTGGCTTCTGCCCTGAATGTCAATTGCCTCTTTCCAGTTCAACACTATATTAAAGAGTTATAGTTCTTAGTTCAAATAATTTCCTCTCCCCCTCCCGGCAGCACTAAGGATGTCTGACAGCAGTCAGTAGGACATCCTCTGAGGGCTCCTGGACTGCAAGAGGGCGCAGGCCGGGCTGAGGGACTCCCCTCCCCCCCACCCCACAATGCACAAATGTCGTGTACTGGGCCTCTAGTTAAATTATAAACTTGTTTGATTTATAAGTTTTAAATTCTACATTTGTAAAACCTATCATTTTATTTATCTAAAGTTCTTTCAATCTTAGAATTATTTTTTCTCCATTTTGATATCAGACAAATATTCACCTATTTTCTATCAGTTCATTTATGTTTTTATTGTTTAAACCTCATATATATATATATATATATATATATATATATATATATATATATATGGTACAGAAGGGCTCTTTATTGTTTTACAACTAGTCATTATAAAATGTCAAGTTGTCTTACTATCATTTACTAAATAATACATCTGCATCTCTTACTCATCTTCATCATATAATAATATCCTATATATTTTAGAGTCCTATTCCACTGATTTATCTATTATTTTTAAAAGAATAATATATTATTCTAATAACTGCACCTTATATGTTCTATAGGGAAAGTACATTCATTTCTCTACTTTTTCAATAATTTCTTGAGTATTCTTATCCCTTTACTCCTCTGATCACTTTTATATCAAATTTTCAGGTTCAAAAACAAAGCAACCACCTTTTTAATCCCTAATGGGATTTTGATACTTTGACTATATTAATAAATAAATTTGGGGAGGCCAACTTTATAATTTTTAGTTGATTCTCTTGGATTTCTAAGTATAAAATCAGGTCACCTTCATAATTTTTTCCGCTCCCTTTCCAAAACTGATATATCATTTTACGAAGAATTGAACTTAGGAAATCAAGAGTCAACTAATAGTTTGTGATATAGTAATAAACATTCAGTAAAAGTTGTCTATTTTCAAGTTAATTTATAAAAAGTTAACGGAGTCTCTATATTTGGTTCTCAAAATTGGTCTTTTCCTAGCCTTACAACATTGGTTAGAATACTAGAATGATACTGTTAAATTTTTTTTTTGTTTAACTTATTGTGATGGCTAGAACTTCCATGATGTTAAACAATACATATGACAGTAAGCAAAATGGGAATGTTTCTACCATTGAATCATGAAGTATAAATTTGGTTATTGACATGAAAGAGAAAAACTCAGGAAATTTCTACTGAATGCCTACTGTATATAATGAAATATGAAAGGGCATCAGTCTGACTTTGAGAGGAGGCTTAAAATATAACTAAGGAATAAGATTCCAGTTCATGGTGAAACATGTATGTTGTATGTGAAACTACAGATTAGTAATACAGGGGTTCAAAAAAAAGAAGACTATCAATAACTGTTGTGGTTGTAGCAAAATATTAAAATTCTTCAATGTATAAGATCAAGTATTTGTTCTTGTTAAAACACTATTCTAATTCTTTATCAGCACACCTTGCTAGGTAGAGATTATAGTGAAATTTTATGAATCAGAGCACCTTGATTTAGGGAACATACAGGGGGTCCAATTTATTTTTGTATAATTTTAAACTGCCAAAAAAAGACCTTAGTGTGATATTTAAATTATTTTAGAAGATAAATTTTATGGCTTAATGAAGTTTAATCCTCAATGTTAATTGCAAGTTATTCTTTTTTTGTACAATAAAGAAAGGTCACAGAGCATTGGGCAAATAATCAATTTCTTGCCTTATATATTTAAGGATTAATTAGGATATTGCACATACATAAATACATACATACACACAGCATATCATTTACTGTTTCCCTTATTTTTAATGAATGAGTTTATAGTCAGTTACATATATATATATATATATATATATATATATATATATATATATATATATAAAACTCTAATATGCAAATAGACCAAACAAACAACCGAACAACTGGTCGCTATGACGTGCACTGAACACCAGAGGGCATGTGTGGAACATGGCGGGCGTTGGCCGTGGCAGGATGATGAGCAGAGGTGCCAGACCAAGGCAGGGCACTGGTTGCTGTCATCGGGGTGAGCCTCTGGTGGTTACTAAAAATTCTTTGCTCCCGTGTGCTGCGGTCCTGCCCGGCGCCCGCACCTGCTGCCAGCGCCGGCCCTGCTCACACCCGCTGCTGGCGCCAGAGCCACCTCTCAAACCTGCTGCTGGCGCTGGGCACTGGCCCCGATCGCTTGGCACTGTAAGCAGGTGGGAGCGGCAGCTGCTGGCCCCAATTGCCCCTCAGGGCTTCTCCACCTCCCCATGCTCCTGAGGGGTGATCGGGGCCGGCAGCTGCCTCTTGCACTTGTAGCTGGTGCCCGAGCCGCTGCTTGCACATGCTGCAGGCACTCAGCGCTGGTCCCAGTCGCTCAGCGCCGTCAGTGAGTACAAGCGGCGGCTGCCAGCCTCTATCACCCCTGAGGGCTTTTCCACCTCCCCCAGTTCCTGAGGGATGATCAGGGCAGCAGCCACCACTGCACCCACTGACAGTGCCAGCCTGCTCGCACTGCTGCTGGCGCTGGCCCCAATCGCTCTGTGACATAAGTGGGTGCGAGCGGGGCTGGCGCCATCAGTGCATGGGAGCGGTGGGAGCAGGGCTGCTGGCAGAGAGGGGACCAGGGGCTGTGGCAGGAGGTGCTGGGAGGGGGCGTGGAGGATGGGCCGAGACCTGCCCCTGTGCCCACTGCAGCCTCTCGGCCCACAGTTCCTTTCAAGGTGCATGAATTCATGCACTGGGCCCCTAGTTGATTTAATACCTATTTTCTGAGTTTAATATAAAGGACAGAGGTTCTTAAAGAGTGTAAGGTTTAATAAGAGATCCAAACTGCTATGCTAAGATGATAAAGATATAATAAAATCATAAAATACCTTTGGCAGCATAAATCCATGACTTAATAATAGTTATAATTAAAATTACTAACAATGGAACTAACTAAATATTCTCAATTCTACAAAATGAATATACTGACGTAGTTATAGAACTAGGAGATAATTCATCAAAAGGAAACCTATTACAGGAATGCCTGGTTATTACAATGCCCAAAAGTATTGAATTATATAGGCCAATTATGGCTTGCAGAACTGGAATAAAATTAGAGAATGCATTAAAACATTTTCAGTTTTGTATTCTAAAGAGTTAAAAACACATACCAATAATTGGAATTTGGCCGATAGAAGGGTAGTTTCACAACTTAAGTACATATCTATATTGGGAAAATTTTTACAAGGAATTAAAGTTTTAATACTGAGTCTAGAAATAGTTCTAACTCATGAAGGTGTAATTGGGTTAATGAAGTTTAACTTGTTGAAAAATGAGCATTCAAATTTACCCTCTAAGATTTTTTTGTTACAGAAAATAAACAGAACCAAAGCTCTACTTTATTAGAGTATTCATTAGACTGGTAACATTTTTACATGTTATCTTACCTATTCATGGAGTTCCCATGCTGCAGGTCCTGTTCCGTAGGTCGAAAGAACTCAGCCATATTGTCTAGCAGTCTACTAAAACCTCGGTTTAAACAGGTATTCAAAACTGTACTAAAATCTGGACTACACAAAATAAGAAGGATAAGTTACTTTTTAGAGTCTCAATGGAAAAGGAAATAAATTCATGAACTGTGGCTACCACTGAGAGCCACCATTTCTAGTCACAATCTAGGTTTTACAGCCTAAAACACTATAAAAATATATCAAGGAGTCAATCCTTAAAAATTAGTATAAAAAGAGAGCTTATTATTTAACACAACACAATGAGACTATTCATCCACTTCTTTAAATTTTCTTACATTGGTCAGCATTTTGTACAATTTATTTTTAAAATTTCAGTAATAGTGTTTCTTCTCTTGAAGAAACTCTTAAAGAGAAATCCTCTTATAGCCATAGATTATTGGTTTGCTTTACATATTCCATCATGAAATACCAGTAATTTAGAACATTTTATTATCCTGTACAGATGAGGAACTGGATACTTGAGGGATAAAGAAATTTGTCCAGTGGTTTGAAATTAGTAAATGAGGGAGCTAGAATTTGAACCCAAGCCTTTTTAAATTTAAAGTTCAAGATCTTTCTGTTATGACATATTAACACTTTACAAAAAATCGTATATAATAAAAGCCAATATGCTAAGTGTCCAGTTGGCCGGTTGGCCGTTCAACCAATCAAAGCGTAATATGCTAATTTTATGCTAAGGCCGCTCAACTGCTTGCTATGATGTGCACTGACCACAAGGGGGCAGACAGTCGACCAGTCACTATGATGTGCACTGACCACCAGGGGGCAGATGCTCCGACTGGTAGGTTAGCTTGCTGCTGGGGTCTGGCTGATCGGGACTGAGCGAGATGGGCCGGACACACCCTGGAGCCGCCCGTGGTCCCTCCCCAGCTGGCCAACCTCCCAAGTCCCTCCCCAGCCCTGATTGTGCACCAGTGGGGTCCCTTGGCCTGGCCCGTGCCCTCTCACAGTCTGGGACCCTTGGGGGATGTCGGAGAGCTGGTTTTGGCCCAATGGTGGAACAACCGGCCGCTATGACACGCACTGACCACCAAGGGGCAGACGCTCAATGCAGGAGCTGCTCCCTGGTGGTTAGTGGGCTCCGACAGGGGGAGTGTTGCTCAGACAGAAGCTGGGCTCATGGCTGGCAAGCACAGCAGCGGTGGCGGGAGCCTCTCCCACCTCTGCGGCAGCGCTAAGTAATACCCAATTTAGGGAAGATGTGAAAAAAAAATTTTTTTAAAATATATTTTATTGATTTTTTACAGAGAGGAAGGGAGAGGGATAGAGAGTTAGAAACATCGATGAGAGAGAAACATCGATCAGCTGCCTCCTGCACACTCCCCACTGGGGATGTGCCCGCAACCAAGGTATATGCCCTTGACCGGAATCGAACCTGGGACCCTTGAGTCTGCAGGCCGACACTCTATCCGCTGAGCCAAACCGGTTAGGGCAAGATGTGAAATTTTTATCACTCAAAATTTTAGAAACATTATATTCTATTCTAAGATAGAGAGAGAGAGAGAGAGAGAGAGAGAGGAAGAGAGGGAGAAAGGAGGGGGGGAGAGAGAGAGAGAGAGAGAGAAAGAGAGAGAGAGAGAGAGAGAGAGAGAGAAAAGACACTAGTATACACTGGGTATATCAGAATCATCCCTGAAAGCTTTATTCAAAATATAAACACTATCTTCCAGTCCCTCAACTAGTATATAGACTCTTTAGGCTAGGGAAGAAAGTGAGCCAGGCATGAGTATGCTGAAAAAAATCTCTGCTTCCCTCCCCACCCTAATAAGAGAACCACTAGTTTCAGTAGGAAATCCTACCTAAAGGCAGGGCAACAGATTCAAAATTTAATTTTGACAAGAGATTATGTTGAATATGTTTTTCAAGAAGGACTAAAAATGGTAAGAGTACAATCAAAACAGAAACACATGTTCTCTGTTACATACAGTATACATACCTTTCCAACATGTCTCTAGTTTCATTGAGTAATTTAATAGTGGTAACATCTCTAGGAGAAAGCCCACAGGCCTATGAAAATAAAATGCCATACATCAGGTTTCAAATATTAGCACAGGGTTATGATGAAACTAGTCATATTAATAAACTCCAGAATTGATGAAATTCTAAAGTCTATGTTCTACCAACAAGCAAAAAATGTTAAACTATAAAAGAACTGTAAAGACTCATGTGTTTTTAAAGATAAATCAAAGAAAATCATAATACTTTGTAAGATCTTTGTTTATCTGGGCCCTCTTAGACACATTTCTAGCATATATTTGCAAAGAACAAAACAGTCCTTGTGGTTGCAGAGGCCTGCGATTTTTTTTCCCCTTTATTGGAAAGACATTTTATCAGGATATATATGTGTCTTTTGGACCAATCTACGCTAGTCTGGGGCTCTGTGTGTCCTTTCAATCTGAAGTTTCAGGTTTTAACTCAATTCAGGTAATATTTGGCTCACTATTCCTCTCTACATCTGTTCTTTTGAATCATTTTTTTTTAGTTCCACAGCTGAATTTTAAAATTCCAGAATGCTTTTTAAATACTCTTATCACGTCTCCTTAAGATTCTGGCTTGTAAGTTTTCTCCTATTTCTTTTATTAATTCTGTCCCATCTGTTCTGTTGGTTCATTTTAGCCTCCATCCATCCTGCAGGGATGCCTTAAACGGGTTGCAATTTATTTTTGGCCTCCTCATGAATACAAAATATCTCAACACCCAACAGGTCTATCTTTGGGGTCTTTAGGGAACCTGCAGGCAATGAAATATATGGCATTCTTTGTTCTAATGCTAAGGTATGGCATAGGGACCTTTCTGGTCTAAGCCTTCTCTAGTTGTCAAGTGAGAGATGCATGGGTGCAATCCACTTACATATGAAAAAGCCAATAACTATTTTAAAATGAGATACAGAACCTGCACTCTTTGGCATTTTTATTATTCTTAATCAATGAATAACGTAAATCACAACTGCCTGAAACACACAGGTGCAGCAACACCATGGTGGATAACTGCTAGATTAGGCCTCCTTTGTTTCTCAACTAGATGACAACTTCCTTCAGTCCACTTAGATATTGCCATCATTGATTTATTTTTAAAAACAAATGTGATAGTGGTAACTGGCCTGATTAAAATTTACCTTTTTTTTAAAAAAATATATTTTTATTGATTTCAGAGAGGAAGGGGGAGGCAGAGAGAGACAGAAACATCAATGATGAGAGAGAATCATTGATCGGCTGCCTCCTGCAGGCCCCCTACTGGGAACGAGCCAGAAATCCAGGCATGTGCCCTGACTGGGAATTGAACTATGACCTCCTGGTCTATAGGTTGATGCTCAACCACACCGGCTGGGCTAGCTCTATCTTCTGCTACTTGATCTCATAGAAATACAATATTCTCTAGCCACATGAACTGAATTTGTCTCCTGAGCTTCTCACATGTAATGAGCATGTCCTACTCATTTTATGTCCTAATCATACATCATAGTACTTGTCACATAACTAATACTCAATAAAAATTTGCTGAATATCTAAAATTATAAATGTTTCTAACTAGAAATCATATGAAATTTGTTTTCTAAATGAGTTTTATTTAAATTATTGAAATATATATTTTTCAAATATTTACCTTTTAAGAGGCTCAGAAATCTACATTTTAAGAGACAGTAAAAAATTTAAATATATAGAGTAAGAGCTTTTGTTAAATGGTCATGAATTAAGCACCTGAACTGCTAATGGAGTTTCTTCATCTGGCATCATATAATGGCATAATAAAGATTTATATCCATTGTTATTAGTCCAAGAGGAAGAATTATGCTCCTCAACGAGATTTCTGATTTCTTTCAGATTTTGCTCCAAGTCCAAAAGGGACAAAGAATGTTTAAGAGAAACACTAGAAACAGAGAAAAGGAAATTGGAATTAATTGAAACTATACCATACATCCTACACACACTTTTTCCCTATCAGGTTACTATCTGAGATCCTGTTTCATCCAGTCAAACCTGAAACTGCTGACTGTGAAATCCCTTGAGTAGATTAAGAAATCAGCCATCAGTTAAGGGGCATTATTACAGAGCCAAGAAAAATCTTGCTGCAGATTTCACAAGAAAATTCCCACTGTAATTATAGACATTACCAGTATAAGTGGGAGATAAAAGCCTCAGAGGCAAATTTTAAAGTAGGTTTTTACCCCACAATCCAAATATTTCTGGTTTGGAAATCAATAAAAAATAATGAAACATTAAGAGTTTATCCTCAGTATCAAAAGGTCGATACTAACGAAGAAAATGGATTCCACAATGCAATATCCAAGGGCTATGTCTCTTACTAGCTTACAAAGAATTTCATGAACAACCTTTGTCAAGTTACTAGCTTCGCTAGAACAATTCTAAATTTTCTTTTATTCATTAGAATCAGAAGTCAGAAAAGCCAAAGCAAAATGCCTCACCTTCCTAGAGTCTTATGCACAGCTTGTTTAATGACAGTGATCAGCTCTGTCAGGCCTATTAAAAGAAAACAAACATAAAGCCTTGTTTATTTTTCAAATTCCTCAATAATACAAATGAATGAATTACAATTAGTTTACAGGTCACAAATAAGAATCTTACCATCTCCAAGGAGGTGTTGAATACTTGATAAATATTGCTGTTGGACATCTGGGGGAGCAAGGACTGTCTGTACAAAATAGGTTAAATTACACAATATTATTAGTAAATAATATTTTCAATGTAACTTGAGCTGAGATTTTCAGGACCTGGATGAATGGGCAATATAAAATTCTTTAACATAACAAAGAGTCTAGTTTCAAAATATAAAAAATAATAATGCTAAAAGTTTAAAATCATATGAAATATAAAGATATTTAATTTAGAGAAATTATCAAAAGTAGTAATATTCGGTTAAAATTAGAACCTCTTGAAACAAAGGGCACTATCTATTTAACTTTATTCCACTTACAGTGCCATTTTTGCCAACTGCTGCATTATCCAGGTAAATATATCCACCAATAATGTTTAATTGGACTCGCAAAAGAACCACCAGCATACATGTACTATATACAGCTACAATACTTCTTGTAAAACCTTCATAGAGGAAAAAAACAACCATTGGTACTATTATTAAAACATAAATAAATGTGTAAAGACATGAATCATTGCTATGGTTATTTTTTCATAAGATGACTTAAAAATACATTTGTAACTGTTTCAAATACAAAAATATATCAATTCAAAATATTTCAAAGTCTATCTTATAACTTTTTAATGTACATTAGGTATGATCTCTTAATTAAAACAATAACCAATATATTGAATGAAGGATTATATATTATTAACTTTAAAAAGTTAAATAAGAGCCGAAACCGGTTTGGCTCAGTGGATAGAGCGTCAGCCTGCGGACTGAAAGGTCCCGGGTTCGATTCCAGTCAAGGGCATGTACCTGGGTTGCGGGCACATCCCCAATAGGAGATGTGCAGGAGACAGCTGGTCGATGTTTCTCTCTCATCGATGTTTCTAACTCTCTATCTCTCTCCCTTCCTCTCTGTAAAAAATCAATAAAATATATTTAAAAAAAAAAAAAGTTAAATAAGAAAGGACTGGGAAGCACTAAGAGTTGCAGCCTCAGAACTCTGGTTTTCCCAGGGAGCTAATTCAGAGTAAAAGAATTTTACTAAGCTTGGAAGAACTCCAGTTTTCAAAGGCAGGCAAAGGAGGATGAGCCCATTAAAGGATTAGGGGAAGGCACAGAAACACAGGGAGACATCTGGAGATGAGGTGTCACAGTAGCATAGCACAGTGTTCAAAACAGAGGAGAGTGCAAAGGTGTTGACTGCTGCCATGAGGTCTACAGTAGAAAAATGTCCAGTGGATTTAGCAACATAAAAGTTACTACTAATGTTGCAAGATCTGCATGGGTGGAGACATGGGAGTAGAATCCAGGCTGTAGTGTGTCAAAGAGTGAGTGGGAGTGAGGAGAAGGGAATGTAGAAATATTTGGTATTATATAGGGGTGTGAGACTGCATAATAGATCAAAGGAAAAAGAGGGTACTACAAAGATTTAATTTATTTTCAAACAGGAAGGCTTAAGCATGATTCAGTTGATAAAGATTAGTTGAATGGATGGGAAAATGTAGGAATGATAGTATGAAGTTATAAGACATGGATATATATATGTGTTAGGACAGTTCTTTGCTTCAAACTTTTATCACTAATGAAAGTTTGCACACAATACAAAGTAAAGTTACTATCTGGGTTGGAATAAAAACTTTAAAGTATAATATTGCAGATATCAGTACCTAGTATAAGCATATGTAGTCTAGGACAGGTGTACATATTATCATAACAATAACAATAATACCACCTACACTATTAATACTCAGTACTTTCTATGACCAGACACTGAACTACTTGTTTTATGAGAATTATCTAATCCTGACAACTCTATGAGATAAAGAAGTCATCCACATAGAGTACAAAATTTTCCCTTTAGAAATATTTTAAGGATGTGCTGCTGTCATAGAGTATGTAAGCTTACTTATTATCTTCAGATCTTCCCATATTTCTAACTTGTTTGAAGGCCTAAAGAAAAAAATCAGAATATATGAAAATAATATTCAGATCATCTAACAGAAAACTTTGCATTTTGTAGCTGTATATTTAATTATAGTTTATACAGGGTAACTGCAAAAACAAAACCCACAAAATATAGTAAAAAACAACTATAATTTCAGTAACCAGTGATAATAACTATTTGCACTAGCATATTGGTATATATCCTTCTAGTCTTTTTTCCTCTTTCAGAGCATATGCATATCCTATATAATAAAAGGCTAATATGCAAGTCAACCAAACGGCAGAACAACCAGTTGCTATGACGTGCCCTGACCACCAGGGGGCAGACACTCAATACAAAAGCTCATGGCTGGCGAGCACAGCAGCAGTGGTGGGAGCCTCTCCTGACTCCGTGGCAGCACTAAGGATGTCCTACTGATGGCTTAGGCCCACTCCCCAGGGCTCCCGGACTGTGAGAGGGTGCAAGCCGGGCTGAGGGACCCCCCTCAAGTGCACAAATTTCATGCACTGGGCCTCTAGTATGTATTATAAAATCATGTAGGAAAAACAGAAACAATGTTTATTTTTTCCCACATTTACCATTTTACATATAATGAAGTAGATTCTATAATCATTCAAAGGTAAATAATGAAGTATTTTTTTGTTTTAAAGTATCATTACAGACACATGAATTTAAATATATATTTGATGTATTTCAACTCACTTTACTTATTCTTATTAATGTTCAAATTGTCCATCTTTGACCAAGTGGGGGTGAACTATTCAGGTTAGTTCCTGAATCCTTTTGACATGACCCCATTTAGTTTTTGATAGCTTCCTTGCTTACTGACATAAAAAACTGTGTTTATCTTGTTCATTTCTTGCTGCAGATCTGAAATCAGCTATTTCTCCAAGAGTCCTAGTTCCTGGTTGCAGGAAAAGGTAGTCTGAGATGGCAACCTTCGATTAAAGATATTCATCACTACTGGGTAGCAATTCTAAGCTTCTTCAGCAGACTAAGATAGTACATATATGTGTATTTATATACTTATATGAACATACGTTCAAAGAGATAAAATACATCATGAATTCATACTTTGAATTATTTAGTGTCACTAAAATGTCTTAAGAATTAAACTAATCCTTTCAAAGTGTTCTATTTCTCTTATGATAGAAGATGTTAACGATTCTTTGTCACCAAAACATCATTGTCATTATCGATCTTCAATAAGAATGCCAAGTACTAAAAACATGACAGAAGCCTATTTGCTAAACTTACAAAATCTTTTCTTTATTTCTCATCAGCTATTATCATAATTAGTTTAAAGAGAAAAGTAACTTGATTGACAGACTTATAAGAGACCTTAGTTGACTGAAAACTAATACAAAAACAATCATTAGGTTGGAGGCCTATTTAATTATACTTTGTAAGGGTTCAAGTCCCTCTTTATGCAAATGTCTTTCAAATGGACATTTTTTTTTCTTCAAACTGCAAACAGTAATTTCAAATCAAAAGGAAGGTAAGGAAAAATAACACTGAGATATAAGAAGGAAACAGCGAATTAGAACTGTTGCCCATTTTAAACTCTTAGGAACTTAAGAAATTCTCCTCTCTGCAATGGATTAAGAAAAGAGGAATGACACCTTTTCTTTAAAGCTGTCCAAGATTAGCCTTCAAAACTAATCCCTGTTTTCTCTAGCCCAACACATCTTCACCCCACATTTTGTTTTTGCATTTTTTTAAACCACAGATCAAACATACTATGTCTTGAATTATAATTTATTTCATCTACTTCCTTCCTAGGATGGCAATGTCTTAAAGGGAAAGAGACCCTTTGTTAATTATCACAGGGAACCTAGGGCCTTGCAGGAAAGAGTCACCAAGAAGGAAGAATGCCACTGTTTTTATGTTGCTATTATAAAAGTGCTACTCACTTATTTCATTTGTCATGTCTCCCTAATAAACCTAAAACTTAAGATAATTAAAATACATTTTTATTCCCTACTTATATACATATTTATTTATCCCCTATTTATGGACATATATGTGATAATTAAAGATTTACTTGGGAGTAATCTGCTCATGTTTCTTCTTTATATAATTATATGAACTAAGATAAACTGAACTTACATCTGTAAGTAATGGTGAAATTATGTCAACCTCTAATAAAGATGAAATTTAGAAGGAAAACCCCTTATCATAGAATTACATTTTAATCAGATAAAAAAATTTCCAAGTACACAAATCTATTGTTACTTTGGGAGGTATTCTCTGAATACAGAAAATGTTTCAAAGACATTTTCCAGCTTGCTATTGAAGCTATCTGAGCAGTAAATTCCTATGTGCAAAATGAATGAAAATATCTGCCTCACAAGGATATTGTGAAAATTAAATGGAACAAGTGTGAAAATTAATTCAATGTGAAAATTAAATGGGAGCATGTATGTAAGGTGTCTGCACTGGGCCTGGCACAGAGAGAGTTCAGAAATAGCACTTTCACCCTGACTGGTTTGGCTCAGTGGATGGAGTGTCCGCCTGCGGACTGAGGGGTCCCGGGTTCAATTCCGGTCAAGGGCATGTGCCTTGGTTGCGGGCACATCCCCAGTGGGAGGTGTGCAGGAGGCAGCTGATCGATGTTTCTGGCTCTCTATCTCTCTCCCTTCCTCTCTGTAAAAAATCAATAAAATATATTTTAAAAAAAAGAAAAGAAATAGCACTTTCTTCCCCTGGGTATTGAAGGATGATTACTAGGAAAGTGAATATTTCAGTAAGGCCACAATGATTAAAATTTATTTATTGAGACCATTTCCCTTCATCTTGTCCATTAAAATAAGAAGCCATTTCTTTCTAGAGCTCTTCTCAAATGTACACAGCACCACCAAATTAGAATACCCAACACATACTGCACTCCATATACAAGGTCCTATGTGTGAAAGTGCTGTGTAGCCAGTAAACTGTCAAGGTAAGGTAAATTATCATTACTGTTGCTCATGTTGTATTTGTACTTCACTTTGTAAATAATATAAAATGTAAGTTCAGGGGGGTGGGGGGAACAATGGGGTGATAAGGACACATATGTAATACCTTAATCAATAAAGAAAAAAATAAAATAAAATATAAGTTCATATGCCTTATTTACCTAAAATGCATGTTCACATGATTTACCTCTTAAATTGTAAACTCTCTAAGAAGCCCACTATTCAACATAACTTAGTATTTGGTTCAGAAACACATTCCATAAGGACTCAATAATTACATTTCTGAGTAATGTCAGTGATATAAGATCTATTTATATAAAAACCAGAATGTATATAAATATTTGTTCACCCAAATATTTTGTGCATCAAGGTAGAGTATAAATAAATGGACAAAATAAAATATGAATTCAAAGATATAGTTAGTAAGTATTTCTTTCCAAATAAGCCTATATATTGTAAGCTTTAATTAGAAAGAAAAAAACAAGGAAACAAAGCATTTCAGTGAATTGTACACACTTTAAGTGCAGTATATAAGTAAAAAAATACTGTACCTTGCATTTACCTGTTTTTTAGCAGAGCTGTGAGGCTCTCAGAATTGAGTTGCTGCATTAAGGCCTCTCTCAGTGTTGGAAGCATGGACAGCACTGTAACACAAACAGAAAATAAAAGGTCACAAGTGCTATGACTGCCTTCCCTGAGAAATGCACATTGTTTTAGGCCATATGACAGGAGTAGCAACAAACAAGGGCTGGGAGGAAGGCCAGGATTAGAGTTTTCAAATAATTATTATTAATGTTAATAAAAATGGATTATATACTAATAAATCATTTATCTGCTTAAGTGAACAAAATTTTATACATACTATGATTATAGCAATGTAAACAAGTATACATAGGAAAAAGTATGGGAAGAATTATTCCCAGATGCCAACAGTGATGGCATCTGGGCTATGGATTATGGGTGATTCTTTTTTTTTCTATTTTCTGTACTCTCCAAATTTTCTTTACAAAAAAAGTCTATTTCTGATATAATAAAATGATTTAAAATAACATTTTTATCTTTAGCTATACTTTTTGCTTCACATTTTACTTCTAATTTTAGAAAAACACTTATATATTAAACACTACAAAGTAATAAGCATTTATTATAGGCTCGGCAAAAGTCACCAGGAATGAAGAGTTGCTAAGCCGTAGTTCTAGTTTTGCCAATGGTTACTGCCTGTAACTCCCAAGAGTAACATGAAGATAAAATAAAATACAGTACTCTATGGAAGAAAGATTACATGTAATTTATAGGAGTTGTTTCATTTATGGCTCTATGCATGGTATAAGAAATATTGGGAAAATGTACACATAAATTTAAAATGAGTTTATAACACTAAATAAGTAATAATAATTTTTAAAAAGTCGATTATAAATCTCACATTCTAAAAGGGAAAACTTTAGTGTATGTTTTTTACTTCCTGTAGGCAAGGCTTATTAATTACAAAATCCACATTATTTTTTTCTATAGAACATTCAGCTTTTAACCGGCTCTAGATATATATTTCAGTACTGTACTATGCAGCTTTAGCATACTTCCTCAAGCTGTATGATTAAATCACTCGAGGTATTTATTTGTTTTTGTTAATCCTTACCTAGGATATTTTTTCCTTTGACTTTTTAGAGTGGAAGAGAGGGATGGAGAGAAAGAAAAACATCACTGTGAGAGAGAGACATTGTTGGTTGCCTCCTGCACACACCCCAACAGGGGCCTGCAACCCATGTACTGGCCCTTGACTGGGAATTGAACCTGTGACCCTTCGGTGCACCGGACAACACTCCAACCACTGGGCAATATCTGCCAGGGCTCACCTGAGGTATTTAGAATATTAACTCAAGTAGTAGCTCAGAGCCAACTGAGTAAAAGGTGGCTTACCTCTTAGTGTACTTGTCTATCTATATTTGGCCAAACATGATATGTTAACTTTCCCAGAACAAGCAAGGCTAGAGTCCTACATTCAGCAAATGGAGTTAGTAGGGAACTAGTTTAAAGATTGTTTAGTAAAACATGATTTGAGGAGAATCTCTTCAATAATTCTCCTGAGAGGTAGGAGCTTTTTACTTTCCACTTTAGCCTATTGAACCAAAGACAAGTCTACTCTTCTCTTCTGTATGAACACTGTATGAACACTGAACAAATATAATACTGTATCTGGTTCAATACAGCATTCATGTCTTTTTTAGCCATTTGGTCTCCATGATAAACATATCCAGTACAACCACAAATCAGAAGACAACCCTTCGCCAGCCATGTATGTGTATGACCCTAAGCAAGTAACTTAACCTCTCTGTGCCTCAGTATCCTCATCTGTAAACCAAGAATGACACTAGCTGTACCTCACAGGATCGTTGTAAGGATTGAGACATATAAAGCATTTAAAACACTGCTTCTCTGCACATGGAAATGCTCAATAAGTGTTTATGCTTATTATTACCCTTACTTAGTGTCTTCTGACACATTCTAGTTTGTATCTTCTTAACATGTGTGTGAGAGGCAGAAATGGACCCGTACGTACTCTGACTACTGCAGAGCATGCTGTAACTACTTTTGATCTGAACCACAGACTTTCTTACTAAAGTCTCAGATTAAATTAGTATCCCTAAATAAGTAACAGCATACTATTTGTTCAGAACAAGCCTATGCTCATTTAGAATTCCCAACCGTTACTCATACACCCTGCTTCCAAGCAAGCTTAGATAATTCTATATCTGTACCACTGACTTTTAATGCAGACAATTCACTTATTCCAATCTAGCACTTATATGAGACAAGACTATTTTGCATCCTAAAACTTCATTTACAGTGTCAGCTATGCACCCAAGCACTGTGTCATTTGTAAATTTGATAAGCATTCCTTCCAAATCTTTAGTAAAATCATGAAGAAGATAAAGCCAATAGTCAGGGCACAGAAGCACAGTCATTAGATGCTATCTTTCAAGTTGGAGATAATTTCTTGGGCAGAAAAACTAGCTACACTTACCTAAAAGTACTAAATTTGTTATAGTATATCCATTACATCTTATTCAAAATGATAGAAATTTAATCACATGATTTGTAACCCCATTATCAATGCATACCAGAAAGCTAATTTGGAAAGTTTTTCAGAACCTATATTTTGGCTTATATTGATTACCATATTTTATTCTGAATTGCCTGTGGTCAGCTATTTATTCATCTGAGGGCTGAGATGGTCATGGAAATGTGCCACCACATCTTCTTCTGGGAGGAGATTGTTAGCTGATAGCCACAGCTGCCACCCCTCTACATGGACCATTACCATGCCTGCACTGCTCCCAGCCAATGAGAATGCTCAGTGGGGATACCGAAGCAGGCCCATTCCAGTGGGACTCCTCTAACAGGGAACTTTGAGTCTGGTGCCTTACACCATTCAGCCATCCTGACACACATCTACCAGGGGACTTTGGCTTGAGAACTCCACACTAGCCTGCTGAAACCTTTGAGAACTGCACTGTACATAGAGACTCTTCTTACCTAATCTTCCTTCCTTCTCCCTTTCCATTCACTGGTCAGACCTGCATTGTGGTCTAAAGGATTTCCTTGTCTACTTCTGCTCCCTCCCCTTTATTCTTCATAGGTGCTTCCTCCAATTAATTTCTCCCACATCTAATCCCATCTTATTATCTGCTCTCCAGAGGACAGACTGACACAAGGATCCATGCCAAACGGAGATATATTTTGAGACTCCAGGACCTACCTTTTTCAATTTTCTGAAGCAAAACTGGATTGTTCTTAGTCTTTAAAAATTCATTAAAATCTCCTTGGTAGCACCACTATATTGAATGCTAAATATCAATTTAAATGATTATGCCATTTTAAAAAAAGTTCTTTACTGAGTATTGTGTACAAAGCACTTTATCTGTATTATCTCATCACATCACAAAACATTCATGAACTGGGTTTTATGATGATAATTTTATAAAGGAGAGAACTAAGATTTAGATCTTCCCCCACACACACAGATAATACAAGGCAAAACTGGGAACCGAACCAGATCTGACTTACCCTTGAGCCTTTGCTCTTACTCATTGTACCTTATCCAGTATTTATGATTACTATTTGCTTTATAGAATTAAGTATTATCATTTTAAATATAAAAATCATACTCCAGCTATTTTAGATGTGTCTCTTTACCTCCTAATATCAGCCTCTTTATCTGTCAAATGGAGCTGAACTAAAAATAAAAGTCTTTTCAACTCTGAAAAAAATTTTACTTTTAAAATTTCACAAAGAGAATTTACCTTTATAAATTTGTTCTAAATTGTTCTTGAAAAAATGTTAGTGAAAGGATTAAGCTTTAAATATTTTTTAAGCCCCGCCTTCCCCCCAAAATAATCCCACCAGGTTCGACATGGATTTGAGAACTAACTTTTTCAGGAGTTATGCCATTCGAATGATTTTGGTATGGCATTCTCCCAGGTTTCTAGCTCTGGAGGTTAAATTATTACCATTAATTAACACTGCTTGAGTATATACTATAGTGCTAAACTTACAGGTGTGTAGTTGCTTACTGTAAATTTAACAAACTTCTGACTGTTTACTATGACAGATAAGGCCCAATGGGATCAAGCCTACCTGCAGCCTTACTTCCTATCACTCTTTTACTGCTCATTGCTCTAGCTCAGTGGTCGGCAAACTCATTAGTCAACAGAGCCAAATATCAACAGTACAACGATTGAAATTTCTTTTGAGAGCCAAATTTTTTAAACTTAAACTATATAGGTAGGTACATTGTTCTTAACTTAATTAGGGTACTCCTAAGCTGGCCTTTGCTAAAAACGTCCTCAATCTGATTGAGGTACATTCGCTGAGGTTGACCCCTTCCAACTCTCCCATCCAGACTGGTCTTGTATACTTGTTTTGTCTATCTCCTTTCCGAAAACCGACTTCTGTGCATGGGCCACGAAGTTTCAATCGCACTGTACGTACACACCCGCACGTGGCATTTTGTGGAAGAGCCACACTCAAGGGGCCAAAGAGCCGCATGTGGTTCGCGAACCACGGTTTGCTGACCACTGCTCTAGCTACATAGCCTCTGTGCTGTTTCTTGAATGTGCCACGCTGGTTCCCACTTCAGGCATTTTGGCTTTTGCATGGCTTCATCCATTGTATCATTTGATTTCTCCTTAAAGAGGCCTGACTCTCCAGACTGCCTTATCTTAAAGAGCAACCCCACCCTTCCCACAGCTTTATTCTCCTTATAGAAGCTGTCACTGCTCAAAGTTACTTATTTGATGATTATCCTGTTTTTCTCTCACTAGCACATAAACTCTGAAGGTCAGGGACCTTTTTTTTTTTTAAATCATTCACTTTCTGTTTTCAAAAAACACTGTTGGGTACCCAAATTATTTGCTGAATGAATGAATAAAATGAATGAACATTTATATTGTATATTGATTTTAAAAATCCACATGTATTTTAGTTAAATCATTAATTAAATACTTGCTAGATTTTATCATTCTTCCTTTGCCTTTTCTGTCCTGGAGGTATAAAAATTAATATAAATCAGGAGAAACCAAGATGGCGGTATAGGTAAACACCTGAAATTGCTGCCTCACACAACCACGTCAAAAATACAACTAAA